CCTTAAAGGAACCCGTCATATGTGACTATGTACTTGGGGATGCTAATTTATTGCTGTCAATCCCTAAGAATTATTAAAAAAAATGTCCTCTGCAGTTTTCGCTCAATCACTCAAAGGTAGGGTAAAAATCACTTCACCTGCGGTGCGAACCACACTGTGATGATGCACTTCAGCAGAGACTCTGAAGTTCAGCCAAGGGTTTGCTAAACAGAGTCATTTGAACGTCGCTCATATGACATTCGTAGAGGATTCTGTCACATAAATAGGTACAGGTCTGTGACTCATCGGAGACCTCACATCAACTGCGCAAAGCCTATACTGGTACGCTGCATTACAACTCTACACTGAACGTCCCGCTACTAGCTCCATGTGATTGGATTAATGGACAATGATTGTCTTCCCAGTTTTACTCCCCTGTTTCATGTCACTGCTACGCCAATACTGAACACTGTGAACAAGGGGGCGCCACCAGTTACAGGTTTACTTTGGTCTACACAAAGCCCTTTGTACTGCACCTTCGTACGTACGTGAGATACGAGATACACTTCGTTCTCGTTTGCGGGTCAACACGGTAGACAGATTACGTTGATGGTGGCTCCCCCCTGATGTTTAGCGGATCTAGGCCGTCGGTACTGATAGCCACGAATCATCACTGAACTTTACCATGGTGCACACCGCGTTGAGAGAGGGCAGTATATACCAATGAAACCGTGACCCACTCTCAAGGCCACAGGTCTCTTCACGCACCAAGCGAACAGGCGAAGTCCGTTAGTGTACAGTACTTTGTTGACTGAACGGCGCAGCACCACAGGGAACTTGAGGACTCACTGAAGCACAGGAGAGGGAAAGAGAATCCGTTTATGATCGAATGACAGTGTACCGGCATGTGTGTCAGTTCATGGACGGCGCCGGCGAATGGAAAACACTCTTCTTGTTACCGAATAGCTTCGTAAGCTTCTCTGCTGCTGCTGCTTGTGAAAGGCGGGCAAACAGATACTGGTAGGCTAGACAAGAACCCCAATTGATGGATGCCAAGTTGGACCATTTCCTACTGAAATCGTGCGTCTTTTTCAGTGGTATTAATACGTCTGAATATTGGCTGAGGAACAACGCAATTTGAGAACGGAATATTTATCCTTGTAACCACAATGATGGCAGTAATAGAGACAGAGCTCATATGTTCACTCCATTCAATTGGACACTTCGGAACAGGTCGATGTGCTAAAACGTGTTGAGGTAGGAATGCTTATTCGAAATTTGACAAAAGACATTTCACCGGCCATTTTTACAAATGCACTGTGAAGCTTGCGTCAGCCACTGCGATACTTAACACCGCTTAAATCGAAGCTAACCAAACGGGAAGGTGGGAGGTAGTCCGTCGAACCAGAAAAGCCAGAGGAGAACGAGTTATTGGATTAGCTCGTAATCGTTCGGAGGGCCGGCACGTTGGTTTAAGCAGCATAAAGGACACGCGATACGAGGACTACGCGCAATTCGAAGTTGTGCCACGGCATAAAAAATAGTCACGAATCTGATGAATGAAAAGCGCGATCTTTTCCTAAATCTATCTGACGATCTAAAGTGATAATTAAAAACGCCATTGTTATACAGCTAAACGGAGAATATCAACGAATATTAAGATCAATTTATTCTTGATGTCAAACAATTGTATGCTTGTTGTTGTTGATGATGATGTATTATATTTTTGTTATTATATATACTATATTATTATTGTTATCAATAATTAGCCATATGGTTGTTCTTATCATTAGTCCCATCTTCATGAATCTCGTTATTATTATGATCGTTAGGTGTATAATGCAAGTATGTTCCTTATTTTGCTGTTGTCCATAGGGTCTTTAGCAATTATTTCCGCATTTTCCATCTACTTCCATATGTATATAAGCGGAGAGATCTCAAGCTTCAAGGTCTGCTCTTCAACCAATAAACTCCTGAAATTAGAATATCATTATTTCTGTTGCCGGACACAAAGAACTCTGCGGGCCCGTGACTAACAGGATCACAATATACCTTCATTCACGTCCAGGGTGCAGCTGTATCAGCGTGTATATTGCGTGGACACGACAACGGTGGCTTTCTAACGGAAAGATTCGAGACCACGTCACTATCTTTAGATAAGCTTCGGTTTTGGGTATTGGAGTTCCTTTCTCCCTGATATTGTTCTTACGACCAATCTTCTTCGACCTATTGGTAGCTGATATGTGGGCAGTTAGACCGACCCGGAAAGTAGTGCACTTCACTCTCCCTCTCTCTCGCTATATATAAATAGTAATTTAATAGACGACTTGAGGCTGTATCACAAGTACATGAAGCAGTCTTCATTTATTATGTGAGTAAACAAAGAATCATAAATTGTGGCTAATAAAAGGAATAAGGCTGTATCGAGGCAGATGAGGTTGTCGTGAATGTTTTTTTGCAAAAGTTAACCTTTTTTTTATTATACGTTGTATCTTCGGCCACGCTGTCTAAACGACGTGGCCGCAGAAGATCAATCAATAACAATAATAATAGATTTCAACATTTAATTCATGAAAGAGCGAAACATTTTTACCATCATGCAAACTGCACTATGTTGCTCTATCGTCTAGTTTTTCTAAATCTCTTGGTAGCTATAAATTACGGGTAAATGGTAATTCCCTTGCTTGAGGCTTATGGATGGTATTTTTTTGGTGTTTTTGTCCATAATTTGCTTCCACTTCACCCTACTACAAATACAACATCTTCTGCCGGCAGCGGTGAGAACATCTGGAGCAGCTAAGAACAATGCAACATCACTACACACTGACCACGTAGTTACAAGTTACACGCAGATGGCTACGTCCCAAGTACCTCGACGGACACCCGACTGGAGGTCATGGAGCCTTTGACTGGACACTCCAGCTTCGAAGCACTGGTAATGCACGGTTGGTTTTTGTTTTGTAATTTTTTTGGTGATTTTACGTCGCTTTTTATTATTGTACTTTGTTTTTTTTCTGAATTGCAGTTTTTTTTTTGTTCTAACTGACTGTTACGTTCGACTACAGCTGTAAAAACATTAACGTTCGGGGTAGGCTGATAGATGCCTGGCATGGATCTGTGTCTTGAATCTGCTAGACCGCGATGGTCAGCTGCGACATCCTGAGGGATTCGAGGCCCATGCGTTCAATGTCTTTCCTATCCGGATTGGAGCGATTTCATTTTGCGAGAAATTGTCAGACCAACTTTGTCAAGCGATCAATCGAAGAAGTGATTGCTTGACAAAGACGAAAAACACTAATACATATGCCGTACTGCGGTTGTTTTGTCGAGAACACCGAAGGTTAGGCTAAAATACTAGGGTAAAATATAGGAAGGATAGCCTGACGACAACGTATTGCCAGGCGGAAACCATTGCCGTTAAGTAAATATCAATGCTTGATGTTTTTGATTTCACGAAGTATCAGTAACAGATCGGGTATGATCAGCCGGCTATTCTTGTTGCTTGTAGCTGGCAGACTGGGGACTGAGAAGCAAAATGCGCAGGTCTAACATATTATTTTACTCCGGCAGGAAGTATTTCAACCATGATGGGCTCTAATTCCACTCGACAGATTCCCTAATTTGAATCTGATGTATTTGTAGAACGTTACTTTGGAAACACAAACTACTGTCGTATTTCTCTAAGACATTGCTAGCTAGTAAACGCTGAAAACGTCCATTGTTCTTTCACAGCCGCCTCAACCTTTGACGCTATTGAACTTCGTACATAGTGTTCAATACCTATAATCATATAATTATTTCAAGAGCTCCAGTTGTGAATACACAGCTGACTATTGCCGTCAGCTGCTGTCATACCTGCTTATTTTGCCCACACTTTTGCCGTCCAGCTTTAAATTCGGGACATTTTTAACCGTGGCTTATCTCTTCAGTAGGCGCGGTTCTAACGTCTATCATGGCTCAGGAGTATTTCAAATCTGACCCGGATATTTACCGTTAGAACAAGACCCACCCCTGCCGGTCCCCGATATCACCCACCTGATCACTAGAGGTTTGCTTTCAATAAGTAATTTTAGCAATTTCACCAATGATATTAAGGGTCAAAGTGCAGCGTTTAATGCTAGTGCTCCTTTATCTGAATCGATCCTAAATTATGAATCCTGACTTGTTTGCTGCCCGTCCTTAAGGAACCACACACGCCATACTCACGCCATATATCATCGCTATAACATAAATAATTATTGTATTGCAGACGAGTTGCATTCATGTTTCTTTAAGCGGACACTCAACGCTCAGCGTTAGGTCTTCTTTTCTTTCGAGCATCTCTCTGTTGTTGCGCTGTCATCTTTCATTTCAATACCACAGTGTTTGCGTGTTTGTTTGGGTTTTAGTTCCATCTTTTAGGGGAAGAGAGTGAATGCGAAAGCTCAAAAGGGACTAAATACACATCATACAAAAGTCGTTTGTACTACATAACTCGGCTATTTAAACTTACTCTTCATAACTATACAGTAAGTATTATGTATCCGTATTGTTTTGCTTTGTTTACCGTTATTATTCTTATGTTGTTCTTCTACTCGGATCGGTCATCGCCAATATTGCTATTATTCTAGTCGTTGTTTAATAGCGTTACCAGAGAAGAACCAGTTTGCCAATCTGGTTTGTTTGTTGCTTACTTTTGACCGTCATTTTCGTCGTCTGTTAATTTCCTATCTTTCTGTTTATTTGTTTATGTAACATAACGCCCTTGATCATGTCTGCTAATCTTGTCCTGGATCGTCTTTGCTAACAACTTTGACGGGTCTGTTCAAAATGATCATAGTAGAGTGCCAACATATCGTCAAATTCTTACTCATCACGCAAGAATCATCGTCGTTCATGTATATATATATTCAATTCGTGTATATATATGTGTTTGTCTCTGTGTGTGTGTGTGTGTGTGTGTGTGTGTGTGTGTGTGTGCGTGTCTGTATATATATCTATAATTGACGAGAAGAAAAGAGCCAAAGTTAAGGGTTTCATTACTGTATACAGTTATTATATATATATATATATATATATATATATATGTATATATATATACCACAATATCAGCAGGCAGGCGTGGAGAAGAAGAAAAATCGTACGAGACTAGTCTGGTTTGCTCATGCGCACGGATCAGCCGTTTTTGGGCCTGCAGCGAAAGACCGCTGGGACAATACTCCATTGATTGGTGCCCACTTTTGTGGTTACTGCACCACTTACGAACATATGTATTGCGTGCTACCAGGTAAACGGTACGGTAAAAAAAAAAGAAACAGTAATAGGCCAAGCCAAAGGCCCGCATTTTGCTAAAAGGTTGGAGTATAGAGGTTAAGTACTCAGCGCACTGTAGTTATGCCGCTGTCACGCGACAGGTAATCGCGAAATAATTTTCGGATGCTGGTGTTGTTGTTGTTTTTTCAGATCTGGGCATTGACCACGTTGCGGGTCTTTCCTGACGTAGAAGGACGACACTTTGAGGATCTTGTAAATTAGGCTGCCCAGGGAGTTCGTCTTCTTGCATTGATCATCAGCTGTTAGAAAATAACCGATTTATGACCAATTTCTTATCGTAATTAACATCAGCGCTTTTTCAAAGTCGTCTCTTTTTTTTGTGAGGTCGCTATTATTAGTAGTAATAATAGTTTAACCACCTACGGCCCTTGCAAAACCAGCCTGAGCTACTTGGCCATCACCTTCAGCTCTTCGGTCTCTATGTGGTACCTCTGTTTCAGCTATTACTACCTATAATAATGGGCATCTCTTTATCATTCTAGGGTCATAATATCACCAAAAGAAAAATCCGTGTGTCCGTTGTAGTACATAAGTCTCTTAATATCGCATATTTTCCTATGATCTGATAAAACTACGTGCTTTCGCCATCCGCGATCGTTATTAGTCTTCTTCTTATTATGATTATTGTTAAGGTAAAAGACAGCGAGGTACCGCCGGATAGCTGCTAAAAAGATCACGAAAAATCTTCAGAATGTCTCATCACCCACGTTGTTTGTATACTAATTATTATTATTATCAGTATTAGTGTAATATTGTTGTAAGCTCTCTATCTCAATAATCTCCATCGTCACCAATAATCATATAAAACACAACAAACAGGCACGTCTCTGCCAATGCCAGCTGAGGAAAACTTAGCCACTTAGGTAACGAGGCTAAAGTAGGTTTTTATCTTGTATTGTATATAACTATTATACTTACGTCTATAATAATAATAATGACAATGGTATGTCGTTCCTGTGGGTCTCCCATGCCCGCATGAAGGGTTAGCGACACACCAGAAGCGTCGAGCCTGCTACCTTCTACAATATTTATCGTCCAGTTACGTTCTAGCGGTCCGTAATAGGTCGCAAGGCAGCGAAACGCGGCAGCTTCGGATCGAGGATTGTCTTGGCAAGCAAGCCCGGCAGTTAACAACGGATATCCAGTCGGCCGGAGCTCCTTCTGTTAGGCTTCTGTTCAGTGTTCTATATGGCGCAAGTGCTCATTGGAAAATTGCTCGAGAGCTTGCTGTATATCCTGTCAAATAGGACAACAGCCTTGAGTTGGCTCGACACGATACCTTTTCTATCCTGGTGAGCCTAACCACACTACAAGCGTGTCGTAAGAATGCATGTACAGCATTCTTACCTGCGCCATTGTTATTACTATTACAATTGTATTAACTAGTGGCGTATATTGTCAATTTTTACTATTGTTGTCCTTTCTGTTATCGATGAATATAATGATATCTATCTGTCGTACTATTGTTACCGCTAGCTAGTGGATGTGATCAGTCATCTTTCAAAGATTATATGTGTAGTTTCTTCTACGGCCGTCCGAAGGGTTCGCCTCTCCAACTCTTGACTTCAGGTAGCGCACTACAAATCGGACTGTTCCAGGTAGCATCGATATGAGTAGATGACTGAGTGAGCACTACGTATGCATTTATGTGTATGTATCTTTGTAGTTACTGGTGTATAAATAATAATGAAAACGAACAAAGAAATCACGCGGATGGTTTCGACGTGCGGATCCTCCTCTACACGGAACGCACACGCACGAGACAGGCTCCCTTCATACATACAGATTCAGCAACAAATCAGTATTACAATGGGTTAGACACCCGGTCAGCTGTAGCTGCAGGCACGACTGCGATAGCGGCAACGCTAGGCCATCGTGTACTTATCAGCCGTTATACTAGTTAAGTAAATCAACAAATAGATTACAGTGGAGAACGCTCTTTCCCCAGATGGGAAGAGGCCCCAATCGAATCGATAAAGTCCCTACGGGGCGCTAGTTTCTGAACAGACTCCGGCCGTCCTTCTTTTGTGTAACGTTGTCCTCTGCAGCGACGGTAGAAAACTGAACACCTCAAAGATGAAAGATACAGACGTTCGGTGTTGTCATCGATCCCGCTGCTCAAGCAGTACGTTCCCCAGAACACTGTCGAGTGCGACCACTTGAGGACTGTCCACCTGCTGTTTTTCGGGAGGGTCGGAGAGCGGCTTTTAAATGGACTCGACAATGCCCCCCAGTTCCAACTGGCCCATCACGACGTCTACAGCTCAGACACGGGCGTTCGGCAACCTGTAGCAACGCACACGTTTTACAAGCGCCAGTTTTTTTTAAATGTATTATACGTATACCTAATAGATTCATCCGGCGCAGGTAAGTATGTTTAGGCCAACATCGCTACTATGATCACACAGGAGTGTTAGCACGCATTATTTTACACTACGATACGGCAGGACCAGAAGACATACGATCAAAAATAAATAGATGTCCATGGAGCGTCCCTATTGCAATGTCTTGTACATCGGCAGTTGATATATACTGAGTTTGCTAAGCGTCGCTATTACTACGTACTATATTGATTTGGGATATCCTATATATATATATATATGTATATCAGAAAACGTACCACTTTATTAGGAATATAGTTCCATACGCTGTGTTGCAAGAAACAAACAAAAACATTCTCATTAGAAAGAATCAGTTGGCATCTGTTAAATAGGATTTAGCAGAGACTGTATGACATTAGCATCGTGCTATTAAGGGAGCGTCTTCATATTTTTCTTATATATAGATATGAATCTTTTGCTTGATGCTACTGTTGTTTTGACCTACTTGATATTTTTGGATTGACGCATGAACTGCTGGATTTTGCGAGCCGCTTGATGCTGTCGTCGTTGGGAACAGATTCGACGCGATAACGGAGCCGATTCGCGTAGCGTGCCGCGAATATCAAAGCCGCCCCTTTCACCCCCGACGATTTCACCGCCAAGCAGGCTACTTCCTACAGTCGGAGCATCGTCCTTTTTGAAGCGTTTACTGTGCTCCGTCCAACTACCACTTCCGATGGATTCCCTTTCGGGATGTTCACCGTTTAATTGTTTGTAATACATGTATTGCTTGTATCGCCTACACATTGGAACAAATCAATTGTAAGTACGTGCATATGTTTAAGAGGCGTACTTGAACTTAGAGACTCGTGCATCTGTTAATTGTTCGTACATGTAGTTCCTATTCTCAATTAGGTGGTTTGCTGCTTCCAGTACTACCGGAATTGTGGGAGGTCTTATCGCGGAGCACTCAGTGTACTATAATGGTCTGGAATCCAATTTGGTCTGTCGAATACACATCCCTTCGATTCGTCAAAGGTTACGGTGTGTATAAAATAGGGTCAGCTGAAGGTCCGCCTGTGTAGGCAGTCTGTGTGTCCAAATGCTTGAAGACTATCAAGGCCAAAACTTAATTTTTCACATATTTTTCGGAAAAAAATATATTGTAGGAAAAAACACGTGTCACGTTTGACGTTCGTCTTTTCCAAAGATTCCAGCTGTCACCGAATGACCAATTGGCGTGTTAACGAAACAGTTGTATCAAATTATCGCACAATATGGCGTACCTATAATAGTTTTGAATGAGGACGGCAGCGCCGCGTTCTTTATCGGCTTCCTGGCGTTCCCTTTTGCGTCCCTTATACGATCTATAGGCCTTCTGAATGATCTTCGCGGCCTCGTATAGTTCGCGTTGTTCAGCGTCTGATAGAGTGAGTCGAGAGAAGTCGCGCTCCATGACACCGCGACCGGACGCCTGCTCAAATAACAATACACTTTATAATAATAGGCAAAAAGTCGATAATCGTACACTTTCAGTGATCAGTTTGTTTTTTCTCGCGAATTCTACTCGGGAACACTCCGGTTTCTAAGATCAGCAATTCTTACTCCGTTACTACTTCCAACGTTTAATCGTAACTGCCCGTGTGCAAAACGAAAAGCTCTATAAGATTGTTTATTGTGACCGTGTCATTTCAGTGCCTTGAAAAACTCGCAGAAATCGGCGGTAGTAGGCGGAGGCGAGCGCGAATGATCTGCGACAAACCCAAATGACGACGACGATGGCGAAGATGGACATGAAGGGGGCGTTTCACCGGATTCTGCACAATACCTGCGAAAGAAACGTAAGAGGAACGACAAGAGGAACGACGTATTGACCCAACATTGCGTCAGATCTTTGATGTTAGACAACCAATCGGCAGTGGTGCCGTCGTTCGAAGAATGATTCCTAAAGCTATACGTGTGTAATGGTGGCATTGTTCCAATTAATAGTAAATATCGGCGAAACAACGTAGTCCAAAACGCGATTCAGGTTATCTAATATATGATACAATGAAAGTCTCAGTGTGCACTTGTGTATTTACCTCCCATGTACGCCACAATTGTTGACTGTGTCTGATAAAGTGCCTGTACTCTTACCGGTAGCTATGTGTTGCAGGGTTGGCACCACTGAGATCGAAATGCATCCCGTCACCAGGGAGATCAGATAGGTCATCATCAATAAGACGCGAGGGATGTGACATGCTCGGGTTGTGTCGGGAATTGCCCAGCATTGGTGAGTTCAAGTGAGTATTTAGAGCACCGCTACTACCTTCATCAGGACCGTTTCGTAGACTTCCTAAAAAATCCAATACGACAATATATATATATATATATATATATATATATATATATATATATATATATATACACAATCATCAGTGTGCATACGGTGTTCATATGCACACTAGTTATAAAAATTAATTTAAATAGATTTGCGCATACAGATATGTAATCATATTAATAAATATGTAATAGAAATATACACAAATACACTGAAGTACAGAAGATAGTGAACGCCTATTTTTTTTTATCTGAGTTCATACGGTGTTAGCTTTACCTACGCAGCTATTTGCCATTTGAATATGAACGTATTCTCTCCGAGTGTATCAAGCGCCGCCTTATTTAACAATTCTCATAGTAAAACAATTTTCTTTCAGTGTCTTTACCCTTAATTCTAGCAGGCAGTGCCGCGATAATCTGTTCAGCCAAGGTGAGAACGCGTCGCTCCTCTACCTGTTCGACGGCTCCACCCAGACCTTGAAGGCACTCCCGGGACGAAGCTAGAGATAGATATACAGAAGAGATAGTTGGCCTAAAGGCGTATGCGTTTTAAATTATCTGCGTATATAGCCTACGATCAATTCTGAACGCAAGAAAAGTATTGATCCACTGTTAATTTTTTTCAATGAAGGTTAGTTTTCAGCAGAATATTATGAATGTACAGTGTACAAGATCGATTACGGTATATGGCCTCGTAATAATCTCTAATGAATATGCATGTAACAAGCCTAAATAACGTATGGAAGCGAGCGCATGTTAATGAAAGCGCACCCATAGAGATCGATGTGGGCTGAAGTGGAACGGAGTCTAGTTCCTCATCGGAAACCCCTACAACATCAACGAACGGGCTTGTAGACGATGAGTCTGCAAAGCAACCAATGCGCCAGATACCATAAGAGAACAAATCAGACTCAAAAACACCAAGTTTTATGACAAGACAAATTTTATGAACATTCCTAGAAGTCAGACACTAAATTGCATAATTTATCAAGGGGTCAAAGGCCGCGTTAACTTTTCGGCCAAGGCCAACAAGGAACTATTTCTAGAGTACAGTGTAGATTCATGGGTGTGAAACAGGAGAAATACATTGATCACACAGCCAATATCAAGGATCAAAAAGGAGCATCCTATTGCAACTATTTAAAGGTCAAATCCTAAACAATGTCGTGCTATGAAACGGAACGTAAAACGTGCTAAAAATCGTAAATCAAAATATCACAGCGTATCAAAAATAGGCATAATACGGCATCTCGATTAGAAGCGTCTTGCTGACAATACATCGACCAACTAATGGCACCAAAGGTCGAAGCAGTAGCAAATATTTGGAAAAGAAGGAGTGTCAATCAGCAACAAAAGTAAAGGAAGCGTGAGTCCATGCTAGGCATTGCTGGACAGCACTTCTAATTTGCGCAATCCGCTACTGCGAATTAGCCCATGACCAAAATAGGACAAAATTGTCAAGGACGCAACAAGTTCCTTGCCGAAATCGAGCGGCCTGCATAAAAGAAAGGTAGCTTACTATCGCTCATATATCTGGTCGTTTAAGTACGTTGTCTTAGCCACACCTTTGACATATAACGTTCGTAGTATAACTCCCCCTCCGAACTCAGTACCATAGCAGCGTTGGTCGGCGGCTGATCAATGTATTGGCTAGTGAGCAACTAGCTCAGTTGGAAAACTGGGATTTGTGTCATAAATAAGTCCGTTATGTGGGTATGTTATTTTATTACTATAAACAGATAAGAAAATTTCAAAAACATACGGTGTATTTTGAGTTTTTACTCTAGCTATTATATACTGAAACTGGTAAAACGTGCAATGCCAATTGGTGATAACAGCCTGTGGCGGACAACTCTCATTCAGTCAAATGGTGTTAGATAGTCCAGGGGGTTTGAGGGCTCATGGGAGGTTGAGGTAACTAACTGATCAGGGTTTGGGAGACGGTGGTTTAATTAAAACAGTCCAAGAATAAATCTTCGCCGGTGGCGGATTTTTCTAGAGGGAGTTCGAGCCTTTGGTAGTCAAGCAGATCGCTGGAATTGTCGATAGTGGATTGCAGTGATAAGGATCGTTCGATAACAGTGAGCTTTCCAGCCAGTCGCATCAGAAGTAGCTGTTTGAAGCTGTTGGCGTAACGTACATGTAGTCGATATTACCTTCTTAAGAAACAGGCCTTCTGGGGCTCTGTGTTGCCGTGAGCGGCATGAAGTTCTGAAGGTGACCAACCGTTTTGGTGCGACGTAGTGATAAGTAAAACGGTGCCCTGATGCGCGATGTGCTGGTGTCAGCCACGGGATTTTTGGCGGTGACGATGGCGCGGTGAGATCGAGAGGCGGCTTCTCTGATGGAAGTGCCTTACCTTGAAACTAAGCGGGGTGGCATGGCCACTCGATCAGAGGCGCCGCCACTCGGCCAGCCTCAACAATGTAATGTTTGCCAGGGACCATTAAGGCGTGTCTCGAGCGTGCACATATACACATGAGTTACAAATATCAATACGCATATGAAGTTAAGGTAACATCGGCCGTAATGAAAGTCCATGCACCGTTATATCCGCTGGGTAACAGAAAACGGCTGTTATTGCACTGGCCATAAGGGGATAGTGGATTGGGTCAGGATGGTGGCAAAACCCAATTTTAACTACCGTGTTCGAGCTTTTAGAGTGGTTAGTTAGCACCAACGAAACGAGCTAAGAAAAAAAATGATGGGACTATAAACATACGTGAGGATGCCATAGCTTCAGGTGAAAACTTGCATTTATCTAATATTTGTTATTGTATGTTCAGCATATCATTTAGATGGTGAACGACATTTATCGGACGATTCAGGCCGCTTACTTGTAACAGCAGCTAATTTTCTTTTTTTTTTTTTTTAGCTTTCTAGATTCGTAGCAATGAACGATACTATATATATTTCCACCGTTTTATCACTCACTCGCCAAACTCTAAGCTAAAAAAAACATTCTATGGAAAGCACGGATTATGGCGCTCTCTGAGTGTTTTCGAAACGAGGACACCTCCGAAGATTGAATCTACTACTTTGGCTACCGTAAGTCTTACTAGTATATTTGGAACAATGTATTAAGTAGTTAGTACATGGTTCTGAATGACTAGAACGGAAATACAGGACATTTCAAGGTCGAGCTTGAATCGCTGATTGGAATGACTCTCCGAGCTGGCACGATCCACTTCAACCTTCATACGATGATCATGTACCCTCAAAACAAGGGAAATCCAATTGACCCGACATAGCAATTGCAGTCGATAGACGGCAAAATCAACAAAGTCGTGTGACACATTTACTTGTTCGTTCTCGTGGCGATTCTTTGCGTGCGAAAAAACTCTGTGAAAGGGACGATTCAACAAGATTTTTCCAGTACAAATTATAATCACGAAAAAGCCGGAATCAGTTAAGGACAAAAAAAATTCCAGAATATAAACAATATTGGAAAGTTGCAGCAGTCTGTGGCCTCAAGACTAGGTTTAGAAAAGGAAAAATTACTAAACCTTTGCCTCAGACCGCCTAAAGTGGCGAAAGTTGAAGAAAACGCTGCCACAGGCTTCCGTGCGCGGGTTTTGCTTAAATAATGAGCCAATGCTAACATTTAGCCCTTTTTTTAAGTCTTCGATATCCTCCCTGCTAGGCCTAGAAACCTGGTAGCAAAGCATCATAAATGTTTCCTGTAGCACGAAGCTGTCGATGACAGAAAGTTGACAGAAAATTGACTTAAAGGCTTCAGCAATCTAGCCGTATCGAAATTATGTTATCACATTTGTGGAAAATCTCGTTTGGCTGCTGTTATCATCTCCTGCCAGGCTTCTCTGAGGTATCTACAGAGACTACTAGAAGATAAACAAACAAGTCGTCGTTCATAAACGGTACATCCGTCAATGATTGACTGTTTTTCATCGTATGCAAATCACTAGACGGGATCAACGCTTTCGTGGGCAGCAAAAGGCGTGCAACGTATGCACGACAACGGATCCATGCAAAAAACCTATCAAGTACACATAGAGATACCATACATCTAAATCTATACGGAGAGAACGTCGCCGAGTGTAGCCAAGAGAAATGTAATACAAGGTGATAATATTAACTAAAATAATGTAGCCGCAGCGGTTTCACGAATCCGAAGGAGGGAAACTAACTTAAGCTGCAAACAGGAAACTTCAAAAAATTTGAATTTTTTTTTTTGCCAGAAGGAAAATCTACAGAGCGTTATTACGTTCCGCTTGTTTTCAATTCGAACGTAATTGTAAAAAAGACGAGACGAGGCAAACTCTATCATCAGCTGCATTAACGAATTGACACATGAGCGTATAGATTTGTAAAAATTTGGTCTTTTAAAGCTGAACCCTTACCCGTCGTATCCAAAGAAGCGATATCGTTGTTACTATCTGTATGGGTACTGTTGATGCGAGCAGGCACATTCATCCCAAGGTCGCACATACCGCTGTCCACTGAAGACCGAGCGGATTCAGCCAATATCGAACACAGTGTCCCGCCTCCACCGGTCGACCCACGGCTGACTGTTTTGCGTAATGGCCCAGGAGCATGTTCACTGAGTCGACGCCCGTATCGATAACTGCCAGAAGATAGACGCCAATAGCGCAAGAACGGCAAAGCAGTACACAATTTTACTAGATTAAAAGTGGCCCGAAGGAGTGAGAAAATACGTATCGAACGCAGAACAGCGGGATAGAGAAAAATATGCACCTTAGTAGGGTATCGCAGTTAGAAAGTGCCAGTTACCGCAGCAAACGCCTAGGTATGAAACCCGTTACCCGTAAGCAATATTCGTATACTGATTTGCTAAACAAGGGAAATTGTATTTGTTAAAGTACGTCTAACATAAATCTATGCATAGAAGACGCTCCGAAAGTGTTCGGCTAGATGGCTTGGAACGTTCGGCATCTCCTAGATACCTGTTATCATTGCAGTGAGTAATGTTGACCGAGTCGTGGTTATCATTGTTTCCAAAGGCGTCAAATTTACTCAATCCACTATCGTCGATTGAAAAACGATTTGCGATGTTAAAATGTCCATGGTCTCTGGCGCAATCTGCTGGTCTTGCCCCAGCCACATTTACAATTGAGGCGGCCCCCGTTCGTAGTGTCTCTAATTGGCGAACAATTTCTAGCTGGCCTCGGGCACACGCCCAGTGCAATGGCGTATTGCCTAACGAATCTCTTGACAATCCATCCAATTCGACCTCAAGGAGCCATGACGGGTTGTCCGTTCGCCAACGAAGCAAAGTGGACATTAACTTGCTGTATCTATAAATCAGGAAAGAGATTTAAAGAAGGTGTTATTTCCACGCTTTACGATAGGCTCTGCTTTGTAAAGGAACATCGATAGGAAAGAGGGTAAACGTTTGCCTATTGTGGAGGCTAGAAAGTCAGAGTATGATAGGGCAGAAATTTATTTCCACTTACGGTCGAAGGAGCGATATTATGTGACTAACAAGGACCATCAGTTTACATAGAAATTTCGATTGGGTGTCAATCATTAACTAACTTTTGTTAATTTAGTCGAATCCGTATACAGTTAGAGATCGTTTAGGAGATGTGTTAGAAGGATACCAAACGTAAATAAGTATGTGCAATGCATCAATTAGGTATATGGCATCGTCACGGATGAGGTATGGAGGGCAGACGAAGCGCCGTAAAAATCACCATCATCGTTCTGGCATGTTGCAGAGACGTTTACGGGCCCCCTGCTCCGCGTCTCACCTCTATCCGAGTCATTAAAAAAAAGAAATATCAAGTTTTTTTTTTGGGTAAAATGAACAGCTATTGAATAATACGTTTCGTTTCGTCCAAGTGACTAATACCTATTTGTCAAGAGCGATGCCATTACAAAAACGAACAACCTATATGCTGTCACATTGCCAATGCAGGATCAGGCGTTGGTGGATCATGCCAAAAGGAAAAGCTATTAGAGAGTACAACGCGCTGTTGTAATTATCCTGGCGTTTCCCATGAGGGTTGCAGAAATCCCAAGTACGTCTAGCAAAACCTCTCCTGACCGTATAGGAGAATGGAACTGTTTACTCATTTGCATAATACGTACAAAGAGACGCTTACCCTAGAGCAGACACAAGGTGTAACAGCGTGAGGTCGTTGTGAGCCGTTGTTTTCGGTATGAGTTGGGCAGGAATAGGTGTTGAATGCTCTCCAACCTCGCCAAGTTTTCCAGGCCAGGTTGTCTGGGATCCCGCGATTTGAAGATTTCGCGGCCACTGCATTTGTGAAAGCTCCGCACACATAAGAATCATACGTTCCTCAAATGACCGCTGTTTGTCTGATAAGGCTGACGAAACAGGTTTAAACAAAAATGGAAAGCACAAAAATTGCAATAGCATTATAGTAGAATTTGGTTACTTCTACAAATAAAAGCAAACTCTTTCAAGCACAGGAAACGACGGTAAAATTTACAGAGGCATTTGCAACATCTATAGGTTCTAACTAGCTTATGTTCACTTAACAAGCATCTAGCCAGAATGCATATGGTTTTCGATAACTTCACAGTTAATATGGGGAGCGGATGGCTATTGCTACTAGTTATTCTTGTCCAATAGATTAATCTTTCTCTCGGTATTGTGGGTTTTATATAGATGGTTCTATTATGAGCACTAGATCCCGGAAGTAGTGCAATAGCCATCCGCTTGGATGGCCACATGGATGACGGTCACAAAGCACTCGATCTTATTTTTAAAAAAGCATTCTTTAACCACATACGAATAATGCAATTAATATAGTTTTTGTTATTGGTACTCATTTTGTATAGAAGACATTTGATTCGACTTTGGTTCTGAAATCAAGCTCTGTGAGTAGGAGTAGTTAATTCAGGTATTATAGATTGTCAAAAGGCGTAGTAAAAGTAGTGCTCACCGAGTGCGAGGGTCCCGCTGCTGTGATGGTCCTTGTTAGTGGGAGGCCCTCGGAGATTGGCCTGGCTAGACCCTAACCGGGTCTCCACGTTTTCTAGACGCTCGAGTAACGAGAATTTGAGAGCCGCTTCCTCGACAGAAAATCCTTTCCTGGCTTTTTGTTCGGCCTCGGTCGTCAGTTTTGTGTTGTCCCTAAGCAGCGGAGCAAATAACGAGTACAGACAGTATCCATTGGACAGGAAAAACAAAGAGATGATCATTCAAAGTTGCCACTTGCGACGCCTCACTGCCACTGTATTAAAGTAAATCCGGTTTAAAAATGCGGCTTTTTTCTCGTGGTAATGTTGTGTACACAAAGTCTTACTTAAAAAAAAAAAACAACAATGTTTATTTCTGTTAATGCCGATGATTTTCATTCTTGGAGGAGATGCACGAGGATATGATGAGCCACTGTCGATTATCCATCAAGTTGACATTCATCGATAGGAGCTCCGAAATAGATTTTCTGAGAAAGTAATAGGTTTGCTAAACAGATCGGATACAAACCGGTACTCAAAGCTGACCGAGTTCGAGATGACAAAACCGTCCGCGGCGACTTGTAGCGAGACAAGGCCCGGTTCGTGTGCCGGGCAGAAACAACGCAGAACTCCGCTCTGTACTAACGTTGTTGGCACGCCGATCCCATCGAATAGAATTGAGTACTGGCTCATACTGTACAATATTCGAGTTGTTACCGTTGACAATAGCAACACATAGAACAGCGAGGATAAAAGGGAGCCATATCGGGTCGTTAGTGCAAAACACAAACAGAACAAACTAAACGTCGCTTAGATAGCAAGATAAGTCCCTTGAAGCTCGCACACAAATACTACTATATTGCTAGGAAATAACAATAGTGAGCTGATTTCTCGATCATTTTTCTATCATTTTTTTTTCTAAAACACATTAACGTTATTTAGCAGTAACCAATTGGCTTACGAGTGAATACAATAATAGGGAAACAGACAAGGTCAAGTAAACTGAAAGCATAAAAAAGTTACGAGAAAAAAAAAAGCACAACACACATTAGTGAAAATCCGTTCTCTCTAGGCCGGCAAAGCTCATACGTCTAAACGTCGTTTTTTACGCCGAGCTCATCAAGTCCAGCCGAAATATCGTTATGTGTTGAAATAGGTTTCGTTCCTCTTCTATCAGCGGCTCAGATCACCTTTGGAAGCTGTGCTTCGACAAAGCCAATTGAGTAATTTTCAATTATCTAGAGGACTGCCATGGTCGTGCGGTCCGCTTTTAGGCGGGACGACGGCCTCAGTTGAAGTTACAAATGATATAAGTGTACTTTTTTAATCTCATTAGTGGTTTCGAAAATGTGCTAAATTGTCATTGTAAAAACTGGATAATACATGTAGCTCTCGTACGAAAAACGACTGATGTCCATATGACAGATGCTTCGAATAGAAAACGCGGACTCAGTTATTTACAGGGAAGTACCTCATATGCGGCCCGCTTTTCTGTAGCAGGTCTCGTATGCATATTTGTCCATTATAATCCATACAGGCTATAGCAAGTCGGGGCTGAAAACGACAGACTATTCACTATTCGAAATTTTGGCCAATAAGAAAGCTTACGGCACACGAGTGGTCCATTAAAGACGCGATACAAGCCCACTGGTAGCTTCGGAGGTATCACCATATTGTGGTCTTCTGGCGTTAGGGAGCCGAGTGATTTCTCCGTGATGATTTTATGCTAAATCTAGTGCAGTGTTATTTGATTAATAGAGAACGTATACGTTTCAAACAGTAAAGATATAACTTAATACATGAGGCACCTTAGCCGGGTCGTTGTACCTCGACCCGATATAGCCTCGTATATCTTTCTCAGGCCAGTGTCCGTATATTTGGGCTGTCTATATTTTTATAGGGTCACACTTAAATCGTTTAAGCAGCTAACCAAACACGCAGAGTGACCAAATAGCCGAAACTCGGATCAATATAGAAAAACGATTCTCCAGAAACTGACCCTTTGAAAGCTCACAGTGATCATATGATTTTTGCTTACGTATTTCATTAAAGTCAAATAAACTTTAGCGAACTATACGAGCCCCAAGGTCGAACCAATTTGAAGATAGTGAGATCAAGCAAGAATACATCTGCTACAATTCGCGGACAATGTACTGCTCTAAGACAATCAATCTTTAGCGAAATGAAGACGTTCATAGGCCATCAAGATAACACCACTGTGGTGACTCAGTATTTAAGGCGCCCGCCGCACGCAGATTCGCAGGTGTCTATTTTACAACATAGTGAATCGTATGAGCGATTGCAAACACTCAGTGTCGGCTCTTCATCAGTACGTACATCAATTGAATCTAAACTAGTTGGAACAAATATGTCCTATATACTTGATTGTCGCCAACCTGTTGGCCTGGAACCAAGGCCCAGTGATGAGCACCTTGACACCGCCCTCGGTGTAGGCCCAATCTGGAGAATAATCAGTGATGTCGGCTCCACCAGCAACCCGAAAGTTGCCGGTTTCTGCAATGTTGACGGAATCTGCCGGAGCCACAGGTCCCGCAGATGCGATAGCAGGAACCACGCTCTTCACGGGAGACGCCGTAGGAGAAGACGCCGAACCCTGCCGGATCGTCCATTCGACAAAAAGACCGAGGTTAACTTCAAAACACATTACTCAAACATTTATTTCGTTTAGACCTACGCTGGAAGTTTTAGCTTGGAACGTATCGGTACTATTAAGAAGATGCGATCGCGTAAATAAAGTGGTGGATCAGCAGCGCCGAAATGTACAGACACTGAAACAAGTTGACCTTGCTTATGCGGTGGTGCGCCCATACGAGTAACTCTCGTGGCTGGCTCACAATCACGGATATTGAAATAGTTCTAACATGCAATATATTCGATACGATGAAACCTTCCTCCATACAGCTGACAAGTGTGATAATTTGTATACCTATATATATTTCGTGTTATTTCTGTATCACTACAGCCACCATAAGCGATTAGTTCTGATGACGTCAGTCTAACTTGTTGCATTGACTGGAGTACAAGAAAGTGCACGGATGGGTACCGTAGTTCATACCTGTGCAGAGTGTGTTCCACCGGGCATGTCGGCGTTCACGTTGAAATCATCCCAGTTTGGAAGGTCAGTCAGCATGTCGAAGGCGTCCAAGTTGAACACTTCTTCATCAGCTCCATTGATGTCATGCTCGATAAAATCCATCGCATTTAGATCGCATACCAAAACTTCGTTAGGCGACGTAGATCCTCCTTAGATAATAACGAGATATGAATCGGTTAACAAATCATCAAGACGGTTACATTTTAAAATCTAATGGGAAAGACATGCATTCATAAACTTCCATTATACAATTCGAGCTTGATAAAGGTCTTTTCTGCAAGACTTTTTCTTTATTATCATGTACTAAAGCAAATCATATTCAGAGGTCACGAAAGGCTACGACGAATTCAGAGTACGTTCCATATTGTTCAAGAGCTTCGAAATGTTTGGGGCCTGATATCCACAGGGGCATAAATGCAGTTTTTTGCAATCTCAAAGGTGTGTGGCATTCGTAAGTACCTAGGTGTGCCGAACTTGAGTGTGGAATATCAACAGATATGTTTGGTGTGCTGGTAACAGGGTCTGAAACCTCCGGCGGTTCGGTCTTTAGTTCGCTCTTGAGGAGTATGTGCGTGTCATCCTTAGATGTAACCGCTCCCTCGGACTTCACCTGGAGAACTTGACCACAGTGACTTTGTACTCGTTGGTTGATGACGGCGTGACCTGTCAGGCTCGCAGACGTTGGACGCAGGTCGGCTGGTGAAGGTGGGCCGAGACCCTTCAGTGGGCTCCGCATGTGGGCTTGAACGCCAAGGAGGCCTAACGCGCCCTGCAAACTTTGGGTCCAATCTCCCTTTCGCTGACCCGTTTCGGCTTGTTCATCCACCTGCATCAGCACTTCTTCATCATTTGTAGGAGAGCTTGGCTTAACCTCGACAACCAACGACGCGGAATCGGGTGATTCTGCTTTCAGTATCACCTAAACATTGAGACAACAGCGTTTTGATTATTTCGAGCTTCTTTTTCTAGCCACTCGATTTTTTCAAAATTTATAATTTTTTTAACGCACTTATTTTGAAAAAAAAAACTTATATAATTCATTTCTAATAATTTTCAATAAAATCGAAATAGTCTGTTTCAAATGAAACCAGGTTTTATACTTTCCTTAGTTTAATAAATATAAAATTTTAACTTTTTTTTTGTTGAAAATCATTTTCGAATAGTTCTATTAAGGGTATTTTGGTATTATACTAGGTATTTATTATTTATTAAGGGTATATTAAGGGTATGTTTATTAACAAAGAAGTAGTTAGATGCTCATGGGTCTATATCTTCACAGAAGTATTTTCCCTTTCTGATTATGAAATCATCCAGGAGATGCGGTTAAACTTCGGATGGATAGTTTTTATAGGACACTAACAAGACGGTATCGGAATTGTCCTTTCACCCTTATCATATCAATCATTAATAGAGCCACCACCATTCTAAATATCCCTTTTGGTTCTGCCCTTCCCTTTGTACTAGAAATAACTTCCAGTATAATCGAATCGAGTAGTTCGAAAAAATGATATGTTTCCATCCGAAAAAGTTGTAGTACGTTTACTTACTCTCTCTCGTTTGACATGGATCACCCTCTGTGGCGTGACCACCGGTTTGCTGCTAATTGAATCAGGTACTGATGATGATACGGAGCATGGCACGGACGGGTCGGAGAGCCCACCAGACGGCGTCGAGGACCCTTGCGGATCCTGCGCGGCTCCACTTGGACCGAACGTGCTGGCCTTGGCACTACTGCCTGAATTCCCCAAAATGGCCGCAGCTGCACGCACGATTGGCGTCGTCACTATGGGCGAAGACGTGTTTTGAGACAACGATACGACAGTAGTCACAGCCGGCTGAGCAGATGTTGATGCAATTGCCCCGGACTGTACAGATTGCTGCTGGGCCTGCGGTTGCTGTTGTGATTGCGTGGTGTTAGGATTGTTTACACCGCTACTGCTACTACTGCCGCTGCCGTTGCCACCGCACAACAAAGTTACGGGGGTGACTGACGCACTCGAGAGGCCGGACGTAGTGGACGCTGTTCCATTGAGACTGTTAAGTATCAGCAGCCCGCCACCGCCTTGAAGCTGTGACAGATTGAGAATGAAACTCGGACGAGACACGTCTCCATTCAAAGGCCGGCAGGGGGCCAGCAGGACGCTGGCCGAACGATTCGGTGGGGTGGTTTGTGCCGCATTGCTGGGGCCACCGCTAGAACCACCTCCGGCTCCGGTAGTTGTCGAAGTCGCTAACCCGGTAGGGTTCGGTCTTGCTGCACTGGGAGTCGAACCTTGATGACCCACGGCAAGGTCAGGCTTGGCAAGCTGCGTCGAAGATGACACCGAACTACTGATGACGGATGACGTCAAAAGCTGGCCACTTTTTGGCGAGATGATTCTATGAACCGTATGGCCGCAGTTCTTCTTATTTTGTGTGGCAGCGTTTAGCGTTGCGTTGAGTCCACCATCAGTGATGCTCCCATTTATCGAATTTGTAATTTGTGTGACAAATGGATTCAGCCCAGTAGTAATCGTCTGCGCTTGGCCCGTGACGACGGTCGCCTGAATTTTTTTTTATTCAAGAAAGATATTTGAAAAAGCGTACTCTTACATTGTGTGTTATTTACATCTGTCATTGTTACTGTAAAAAGCATGTATTGGTAATAAAGTAAAGAACGTATTGGTGATAACAGCAGTTGAATGAATACGTAGCACTCAGAGAGATTTGGGGAAGCGAGTTGATTGGACTGGGTGTACAAAAAAAAGGACCACTTCATTTTTAATAGGTTCATACCTGCACCACGGTCGTAGACTCCGTTTGTGGAGGTGACAGAGCAGGCCCTTTAGGCGTCGGCGTCTTGGTGGTTGAATCACAGGGACACTCATGCGTTTTGACTATCATAGCGTTCTTGAGGCGTTGCTTTTCAATAAGCTGCGTCACGATAGCCTCAACAGTATCCATCGTCTTACTGAATTTGACGCTTTCTTTATCTTTCTCGACGTCAATGTCCCCGTCCGCCTCCGTGTGAACTGCATCCCAGGAAATTTAGAATAGTTGATCGACGACGACGACGATAGCAATAAGTCCACATAGAAGAAAAGTATATTACGGTCAGAAAAAGTATAATACATCTTAATCAAAATAACTGTTAATTTCTTTAGCAATGAAGCGGCCAGCAATCATTTCTAACATGCTGAGCTTCGTTGAGCAGAAAAACCGTTGGTGCTTTCCGAACCAGCGTATTTATTGGTTTTTTGGCAAACATTTTTATCAATCAGCTTGATGCCAAGCGTGTTCTCAGTATGAGGCGTCTCTTTACGGCGAACGTGTAACAAGATAACACAAAGTACAAGACTTTGGCTGGCACTGAGTAGTTTAATCTCTTTCCATTATGTACATGAAGCACACATGACACGTACATCAGGAATGATAGCATGTCTTCCAAGTCCAGGACATGAAGGAAGCCTTTCGCCATACGCGAAACGCACTTCCAGAGTTCCACTATAAGCACAAATAAATGAGCTTATCGAGAATTATTTAAACCGTCAATCAGAGTGTACACCCGACTAGAGCCTTCATCTAGCCGAACGATTTCGTCTTTGAGCTGTGTATAGGCAAACTAAAATCAAAGTATTATTGTTATTTTTTTTGTTGGTCTTAATTAACTGCTTGTATTACCCCCGGGGGGGGGGGGGGCTTTGCAGGTCACGATGCCACTGCATGTATACTTACAGTTAGCTGCGCTTATTGGAGTCCATTATTCCTGACAAAAGTTTTATTGTAGCCATGTTCCAATCGAACTAGTTATCTGCTATCTGACCGCCCCAATATCCGCTAGGATTCAGACCTTCGAAGCAATCACTAGTACAAGGTAGTAATGTTAAAAGGGTGAAATATCACAAGGGAAGCACAGAATAATGCAAAGGAGCAGACATTGTTGCCTTACTTACTTTCAAAATCCATTTTTGGGCACTGTACACACACATTCTCTTACCAGTTTATTATCGCATGTTTATATTACGCCTGGCTGTACCCTCATCTCAAGCCGCGTGGGTTCTGACCGCACAGAAGGTCTGTGAATGAATTCTCTAGGTAACGCATGAGAATTAAATTTTTCTATTAGTTCTAAGAAGAGCTTCCTATGGTCGCTAGTTTTGAAGCCAGTTTCAAAGGTACCCGATAAAAAGAGAGCGTACTTAAAAGAATGTGGAGCTCAAAAACGATAGTTCTAAACAGTGGAACACCGTTAAATCCAATAAATTATACTTTGTTAGTTAAAGTATTACTTGTCAATACTTGACAATACGCGAAAATTACACGAGACAAAATGTCATCGAATAGTTAGACCGAAGTAGACTATATTTGGGAAGTCCTACTTAGAAGAACAAAAAAAAAACATATAATTTAATCTGTACTTAAAAAACTTCGGCAAAAACTTCGATACCTGAATACAGGCCCTGTGCATTTGCTTACTACAACCTCGTTCTTAAAATATCGATGCGACCGAGCAGTTCTTCGAATTCAGGAGGAATATCTACTCCATTATTTCTGAAGTCATTGTGAGAGCTGGACCCATTAGCGATGGGCGTTTGTTACGCACCCGATACGACGCTTTGATACAGTTGTATCCTGTACATCCGTTTGAAATCATCGGAAATTGAGCAGTTATGGAACGTGGCCGTATTTGAGTCCTTAGATAATGAAATGAACTGTTGTCATATAGGATTTAACCTCAAATTGACAATATGTAATATACCAAGCGCTCTTAAGAAACTTAGCAATTCAAGTGCTTCATTTGAATATATCACAAGTTCTAGTTGTGTTACTAGCAAACACTTTAAAGATGTGTATGTGCTGGAAGAGTGTTGGTGAAAAACTGGGAACTTAGAGTAACCCATTTTAGATTAATGACCGTGGGAACTAAAACACGCTCAAGCAATATCTTCAGAACTTTCCTAGCATCAAAAACCACTGAAAGTAACCACTCGGACCCAGGTTATCTGAAAACTCCACGAAAAAAACTTTTGTGATACTGAAAGGAATTAGATGAAAATTTAAATTGAACAGCTCTACCTCATCTTGCGTCTCCGTATTTCTGTAGCCTGTGTTGCTACGATCTTTCATCCAAAACTCTAACAGATGCAGTGAACTAAACCAGCCTTTTCTGCTCTTTGGCATACATTGCCATAGCTATCTCTTAGTTCATGGCTGAGACCTTCCCGTACCAGCCTCGACATTTTCGCCAAGGGTTGAAAAATGCAGGTTATTGTTAGTAGCTTTTTCTGCCAAATACTTTTTCTTACCGGGCTTTGCTTCAGAATATTTAGAAACTTTTGGGTCCTGGCTAGGTTACCTTCAGATGACACTGTGAACAATTGACACAGCTGCCAGTATTAGAAAGCGATACAAGTGTACAATAAAGATTAGCTATCGGCGAAGGTAAAATATCGAAATAAAGTAATTTTACCTCCTAAGGAAAAGTCAGTATCAAAAATCCTATGTCTTTATTTGTGGCTGGTTAGGTATGAGTAAGAGTCTACAGCGTAGAAGAAGCCAGCATCCTGCCGGGTTCGAATCCAGACCTACACAACGTCCCCAAGATTAGCAAGCGAATATGTTACCACTATGGGGACCAGTCGAAGCGTGCTTAGTGTTTATTTGTACTTGTTCTTGAAGCCCGTGCTGTGCTATAGTGACAGTTCCACAGAAACAGCACTTTCAGGGCAGCCTATTGTTCACTATTATCTCTTATGCTTTTCTTTGGCAGCAACGATAGTTAGACGTAACGAGATTAAGTTAACAACTTATTCATAATATCGATATAGAAATAGCTAAAAAACGAATTTATAAATTATTGATTTTACCCTACATGAGAGTATAGTAGACGCGTAGAGTAAGAATTGCAAAATATACTACGTTCTCATCCCACTAAAAAAAACGCAGATAACTGCAGTATATAAAATAAAATATCAAATATGTATTGCATACAAGCAATTCCATCAATCCATAACATAAATAAAATTAAAAAAAAAATTGAAAGAAAAAAAGGTGTATAATATAAACGTTCAGAAAAAGATTCTTGCAGCTCAAACAGGTTTATCTACAAATGAGCCTACTTTTTCAGGCCTTCGAACAGGCCAAAATGTATGCTTTTCCATGTTGAACTCAACCGAATTGAAACTGAAATAGCAGCTTTAAAAATGCCACTTAGACAAGGTGTTGGAGACGCCTTCATAGATCGATGTTGAACATCCACTTTTTTCTAACCATGTATGCAAACATCTTTATGAAGCTCTTAACCGAATTATAAGATTTACGTCATAAATCGTTCATAAACCCATATTTTGCGCCTGGTTAGCTAGACGGTGCACCATGACACACTGCCGTAATAGTATGAACGTAACCGGTACTCAATTCCGGAGCGTTCTTTGTCTGGCATTAGCTAGCTTGTGTATTTAGTATCGAATAATTACTCACCTTCCGGATAGTACTCTCAGAGTATCGGACATAAAAAAATATCTGCAAATACATACAGCTAAGCCAAAACAAACGCTTAGCATACCTTAAAATATTCCATTTAAAGCGATTGAATATCGAAAGCTACTGGTTATTGAGGACTGTAATAATAATGTATCTCCTTTACAACTCTATAAAGGATTTAAAAGACTAATTTGTGGAAAATAGAGTCACAAATGGTTCTTTAGCAATAAAGTAATGAAGGATATTTAATTAAAGGAACGGTATAACTGCTTAACCTATTAAGCTTTCCTCAAAGATGTTAGGTCGATCAAGAAGCACTTTCTGCTGGAAGCTGACACTGAATGCAGCTAACTGTCGAAAGAAGCTAACCCTTTACTGAAGTCAATTTCTCTGTTTTATGCGGCTTTTCTCCGTAGTTCTCTGTACGAAGGAAACATTCGCAGTAGTGACTTATTCATAAATATGAATGTTCAAACTTTTGCTCCTTTTCTTAAATAGCTTATTTTCCAAAATGGGCAACATGGATTTAAACAGTTGTTATGCCATAGACCAAGATTTGGTCTCTGATTTGGCCATAGGAAAATTCTTGTACAAGATCTGTCAGGATTTTTCAGGTCACCGAAATCGCATGGAGCTCTTTGCCTCTGCATGGCCTTTATTTAGCCAAATACTTGATTCCGTGCAGTGTACAGATTTTTTAAATCATTAAAGTGCCTTTCTTTGTGACTCCACATATAACATTTTCAAACTTTATATACATATATATATATTTTTTTATTATAAATATAACGCATTGACAATTTCGTATAATAGATTCTATATTGGTAAAATTAGAACTATAAAATACTACTTTTTACGTAAATTTATTTGTTAATCATTTCTGCGCTTTCTACTCATTATTATATTTACTACTTTAATTTATATTTATAATTTCACTTTACGTAAGGTATTTTTCGAAATTATTCTTGTTCCCATAATATTCTTAGTCCTCCTATCGAATACTTGATTATTTGCCACAGAACGTTGAAACTGCAAATTACCTTGGCTTCAAATAAAAAAATTTTGCGTTTTTCTTATTAATTTATACAATAAGATTTCTCGAAAAATAAATATCTTCAACCATAGGAGCGCCATGATATCATTCGTATTCAAGGCTGTTGGAACCACGTACCCTTTTAGGATGCTCGCTCTACGATTGCTAGTTATCGAACAATTTTGTATGAGTAAAAATATAGAATCATACGTGTATTGATATTTAAGCTGGCTTCGATTAGCTAATTAGGTATTTATTTCGATATCCTTGTCACAGTATAATTGCAGGAATATCCTAGGGGAGATAGACGTTCCAATGCAGTGAAACTTATTAGACATAGTTTACAGAGACTAGTTCTTTGAGTAACATGGTCGCTTATACGACAGATCATAAACTACCTACAGCTGCACATTAATTTCCTTGGTAGTCATTTATAGCGCAGGTATTCTGTAAACATTAATTTCTTTGCCTACCTCCGTCATCGTCATTAAAAACCTCGCAGCTATGGTAAATACCCCTCGTTTGATTTTCCTTTCCCTAGAGAACGAACGTTGACGCTGTTGTCGACTAAGCTTTAGAGCAGCATCACGTCTTGATAAACTCTCTCAATGTCGTGAAGCTCTGGGCCAACAAGTCCGCAGACGTGCTAGGACCTTTGGATGAAACAACCCACCACTGCTACGATTTCTACGACTCGGGTCACGCAGCACAGCCAACACGAGCGTACGTACCTAGCCATCCAGCCTCATCACACAGATTTCTCATGGCTCTGGAGCCTTTCCCCCTAATTCCCGTTAGCACGCGAAGGAAAACGGCCAGCGGAAGACAGAACCTGGCATCAGTACAGCGAGCGGAAGGGGAATCATGGTAGACAGCGACCTATGTCTCAATCTGCATGTAGTCTCCATTCAGGGTCATGCAGGGTCGAACAACAGCGGCTGACATTAACGAAAAGTGGTGGCTAGATGTCGTATATACAGCCCAGAAAATGGATTTCCTCATCGAGGGTTAGTGGGCCAAAACGGAGCAGAAAGGCTAAGGTGAGTCGACGACTACTAGGGAGGGATAGTCTAGAGGGTGGATGGGCGGTTAGCCCTCTGTATCAACGGGCAAGTCCCGTGGCCGAAAAGAGTATAGTAAACAGCGGGACAGCTCATAAACGAACATAAGGATAGTGGCAACCGTGCTGCAGCAGCAGCAGCAACAGCAGCAGGTCATGTCTGACTTAATTGGCGGGCTCTCATCCGGTGGCGGCCGCTGGAGGTCGTTTCATTTTATGACTTCTGTTAGGCATAATTTTCACAGGCCACTGCTAGCACTGCTTTGGCCAGCGACAGGCAGGAGACTCTAAGCGAGAAGGCAGCAAGGTTGCCCTTTTTCGTTGTACTGACCTGTTGTAGGGCCTTCTGTAAGGCGGATAAAGGAAGCTAGAGAGCAAGATGGAGTTTGATTGCCTCTGTGGCCTGCCTTCTCTCACCGGGCGCTTGGTAGTCGTGGATGCGTCCTCAGCCTCAGCTGAAAGGCCCTCTGCTAAGTCGCGAACACCACCTTTTGCTTTCTTATGATCAGGGACAGGTAGGACTTGGAACGACGAGCAGGGGCTCATGACTGGCGGACGAACGACCGGCCAGCGGGCGCGGGAAACGCATCCACGGAAACACCGGCTGAAGACCTGTTTCGCCTTTGTCTTTTATGCTTGCCTTTTTTGCTATAGTATGCCGCTTGTACTAACTGCCAGCCTTCGCTCCCCCTGGGCCGCCGGCCTGCCGCCTTCGCTGCTTTCGCTGCCACTTCCACTGCCTTCGTCGTTGGTTCTACTAGTAATGTAGCCTTGACGCACTACTCGCCATGCTAGGTCACCCACTCCCAACTAATTTTTTCTGTTAGCCTGTTGGCTCATAGACTTTGCCGCTAAGGCCGTGTTCTCGTGCAGCCGTGGCCTTGTGCTTTGGCCCCCAACACTATGCTGGCAGGACCGGCTCGCTGTAGTCGTTATGCCACTCCCATGTGTGGTCCATGGGAGAGTCTTCTTTATCCAGTCGAACTTCTATTTTTATCTATATATATATATATATATATATATATATATATATATATATATATATATATTCCGTTTAATCATATATATAAGAGCAGTAGAATAGTTGTGGCCTTGGTCTTTCCGATAAAGACCGCACTCGGTGAGAGCCACCGTAATGGTGGTTATGACGATGATGGCGCATCGTTCAAAGTCGTGTTATTATTGTCGCTAACAGATCCAAGAAAAGCGGCTGTCTTGAGTGTTTTAATGGAAAGTTGCGGCAAACTTACTAACAGTGTAACACAATTGGCAGCAATGGCCAACTTTCAGTGCTAATTTATTGCCATTACGGGTATTCTGTGTTGTAGCTGGCGATGGCGATTTGGTAATGGCATTTGTGTGAAGCGAGCCCTGTGGCTAGCTATTTTGCTTGTTAATCACGGCCTGAGCGCTGGTTGCTGACGTGTTTGGCTCTTACATTGTCCTTGTTTTTAGTGTGCTATCTTTTCATGACATACTTTATCTTCGTTTTGGTTAGATCTGTATTGTACAATGCAGCCACGCTACCATTCATGGTGGTTATTATTAAACAAAGAGGGCTAACTAACGAGAAAAGTTTTGTCATCGGAAACTTATTGGTGCAAGAGCTTAGCCGAGACTGTGGGTTTACGAATCGCTTAATGAAGCAATATACAGAGGTTACTTGTCTTTATTTAGTTGACAGGGTCGTGTTTAGGATGAAAGCAGCCTGGGCAAAGAGTCAACCCGTGTGCAACAATCTGACAAATATTGTTCGATCGCTAGTTAAGATTTTTTTTAAGTTTGTGTTATTAATGCTAATAATATTGATATATTTACTAGTCATCTCATTCATCTATGCATGTATGCTTGAATAAATATAACGCTCACTATAAAATACTAATGAATGCAAATGCATATCAAAGTTGTATAACATATTCCAAACCTATCCTTAGAATTTATAGACACCGAGCCTACCATATGCGTACAACACAGAGCTTTGAGTTTCGACACACTTCACGGGGCGTTTGCAAGGGCCTGGTAGGACTTCACTTAATTACATGGCTCCAGTAAAATAGCTTTCCACGAACACAACTAAACGATCTGCTACTGTCGAGCTTCGATTTGGGCTTATTGTGTAGCGTTCATCGATTACATTTTACCTTCGTTGCTAACTTACACATGGGCTTGAGCTGCGAGATGAGCTCTTCCTTGCTCCACTCCTTGGCATCGCTACAGGGTGACAACGACGGAGCTACCACCATCTTTGAATCGTCAGAGAAGGGCACGTTAAGGTAATGTACGAGCACGATGTCGGGATTTTGTAATAGCCAATAGCAGCGACGATGGAATGTCGCTACGATCGCCGAGTGCACGTAACAGCCGTAGATACACTGCGTGAAGCATCCGTGAGAACGATGCGGTGATACGGTCGTGAAGAAATGCGCACGACCCAGACGACGATGACGAGAATTGATGACGAAAAAATATATGAAAGAAAATGACAGCAATACAAAACATTTTTGTTAAATTAATCATTAATTAAATGAGCTGTTTGATACTTCGCTTTCATTTGTATTCAGTGTGCATAAAATTATCGATGTTAGAGCAGGCTACTCGTGTACTAAAAGACTTCATGCGTATTATTATTATTATTATTATTTTATCTTATGATCGTAAAAATAACTTCTGTAGAAAAGTTGGATTGGCGACCTACAGACAGGCGAGATAGGCTAAACAATAGGTAAGAGAAGGGAAATCACCGACTTGTTGTGACTGAGCGCTGGATCTAATATCTACACTGGTGTGGCAATGTCAAGTGAGTGTAACACAGTGCCCTTCAAGCTCTTTGAAATGGTGCGGCAGAAGATCCCACAGGTCATGGACCGCTTTCCGTTCAGTCACTCTGCTTAAGTTCCCGCATCCTACTCGGTTCCCGGGGCCACTTGTGCCCCGACTCCCAATGCAGCAGAGACAGCAGCACTTTTGCTACTGGCTCCGAGGAGCAAGCCCTAAAGGAGTAGAAGGCAAAGAACGCTGTATCGTCGTAGTCGTAGCCGTCATCCGTTCAACTCAATTGAGCCGAGGAACAGGGCAATCAGCTGCTTCTGCAAAGCGAGGGGCCAAGCGGAGGTTTCGATCACTTGCTCACTCCGTCACTAGCCGTCGATATCAACCGACGGTTACAGTTGCGGGAGAACTACATTACCCCTGGCGCCGTCCTAGTCTCTGCCTTCGTCTTCGCGCCTCCTTAGCTGCAGTAGCCACCGCCGACGTGGTCGTCTACGCCCTAATTTTCCGGGCCAGTGGACTCTTTCGCGAAACAAGCGCCAAAAAGACCGCCCGTCCCTTTCAAGGGCGAGAGAGGATTGCGAGACTGCAAGAAGAAGAGAAAAGCAAGGCCAATCGAAAAGCGAGCAGAGTGGCAAAAGCAGTAACAGTGCCGCTAGGGTCAACGTCAGTAGGTAAGCAAGCGAACAGGTCTTAGGCTTCCAGCTATCGCCTGTGCTTCGCTATCGTAGGCAGCAAGAGCGTAGGTCTAGGAACGGATGACGTGGCAGACATTTCCGAAGTCCTTTAATCATTTCCGCAAGTAAACCTGGATGATCCACTGATTACTAATGCGATACTTGTTACTGTAGCTCGCTTATATGAACGATTACTAAATGCTTTTGAATTTAGGATGATTTCTAATTCCCATCTGCCAAAAAAATTGTACAGTAACTTCAGCCGGCTTACGAGTCCAATACAAAAAATAGTAATAAGAACACTAGAGGCCTATTCTCTGCATGAATATCGAAAAGTTTTGGGCTCATTTGTCTTAACAATGTATCGTTCGAAATTAATCTAAGTACCCAAGCTGTATCAATCACGGTATGGGTCCTGCACTCTGCACAATTGGCGTTTCGATCTTCAAAAGTTAGAGTTAGTTGGAGTTCAAAACTCGGCGTACTTATCCAAGATCAAAAGAAGCTTGCTCTTCGCTTTGAATAGATCCATAACGTGTTAGGTCGAATTACCGCCGTTACTTGCTCGCCTACTTTTGTCGCATTAAAGTTTAAATGAAGGTTTTTTTGAATACCCTTTTACTTCCAGATTGGTATTTCCTGAGAAATGCGAAGAAATGAAGACACTCTTTATCCATTAGACGCAGATTTGCTATAGATATAAGGGCCTTTAAAAAAAAAAACAGATATAGCCAATAAAGAATAAGGACACACTAAGCAGCAACGAAGTAATTTAAGTTAGAAACTTTTTATTCTTGAAATTGAGACATAACTTAACTGTACCAAATTTAGCTGACATATCTGTATTCTGCCAGCTATAGTTTAGAAGATAATTCTGAGATAAGATTTCTCCAAGCCACGGACCAATGGATTATTGCAGTTGTTGATTTGGAAAGAGTATAGCGACATGTACGTTTTTGTGCCAGGACTGAATCGCATGCATAACATTATTAGAACTGTCTTACCAACGTCCGAAACGTTTCTCCGTCTAAATACGTCATCGGTGTTTTATGCCTTAAATACACGCACATTGGGTATATTATGGTTGCGCGCGTGTACAGTCAATTTATTCGCAGATCGCTTCGTTTCAAAAATTTTCTCTGAAATTAGGCCGGCGCCTCGACTGAGGGCCTATCGAGCCAATTCAAAATTAGCAGATTTTGTGCTTCCTATGGATGACTAAGCGGAAGCTGGCCTTCATAACGATGTTAGTTTAGCGAGGTGCTGTTGTCGTCAAAGCTTCGATGCTACTTGTTCCCATTTTTCCTCGTATTCGTAGCTTGCAAACGCGAAAGGATTACGAACCGCTCTGTTCCTAGTTGGATATTACACACTCCATGTACGTATGTGTATATATATATATATATATATATATATAGTGCTTCTATGTGTATATATATAGTCGATTATAGTTTTGAGACACAAACAGTGTAGTTAGTCTGCTAACTAGATAACTAAATACGTTTCGCTCGAAATAGCGTCCTTCATGCCCATAAAGCGAGTGCGGTACATGACTGCTGGTGGCTGTTCTTGAGCTATTGCCGCATTAGAATAGCTTCGAATGGACTTGTAATAAAACGCGCAGTTCTAAAAACATACCAACGTTCCTATTCATTTAAGACAAGCTATTTTTTTCTTCGAAATATATGATAAATACTGTATATACGATCATGTATAGTACAGACCACAGGTACATTGTTTATAGAAACTACCGTTGTGCCGATAATTGATCAATCAGGCTAAGCGAAGGGTGTTTTTGATCTGTAGTTACATACTCTATGTTGTTCTGTATTATCGATACAAAACAATATATACATATATTGTGCATAGCCGTTACAACGACGCACACCTTTAGAGATCGCTTCACCTATGTGTTTTTCGGTCTTTATAATCTATACTTCTGCAGATAAACGGCCGTCATGCACCTAGGACTTTACCTCAGGTACGCGCGTCGTTGTCAAGTTGCGTAAGAAAACGACGACTCCATCGAGAAAGCTACTTGTCCTACCGTCTAAGGACCAGAATTGCCTGAATTCGCTAGGACGAAAGTTGATATTGGCAATGCAACGTCTTTTACATCCGCCTCCCGCCTGTGTTAAAACATCTGTAGCAAACCTGTTGTCGAACTTATCATGTTTTACATGTGCACACACCGGCCTTCTGTCGCCATCCGCGGCCCGCATACAAAGTGCCCAAGGACCTGCAAATTGTACAATAGAAACGTAAAACTGCTCGTGCGTCGACAGAAATACCTTCATTCTCTGTCGACTTGCAGACAGCTCAGGCGCCGATGTGCCTGTAATACCGCTAGCAGTTATCCGGAAATAAGTCATACGAGAAAGCTGCTTATTTTTTACGTCTTTCATTGGGAAAAACATGACTTTCGAATCTCTAACAATTTATTCATGTGTTATCACATATAAATGTACCTCTACAGGTACCCATACAATTTGTACAGATCAATTTCAACAGCCACATTTTGTTAATTACCTCACCTAAAGGTAGCGTCTGTTACCACGCCGTGCTTCCACTGCTACCCAAGGCAGTATTTAAGTTGACTAATCAATTTTTCAATTCAGTCCAGCATAACTTATTGTCAGACGGATTTTCAAGTTAGCTCAACGTGTGTACACTTATTTCTATTTTCGGTTCACGTGTGAACCGCCTTCATTACTCGAATAAAACACGTTTTTAGTTCAATTTAGCTCAGTCTAATCTTAGAACCTTGTTAAATATAGGTTCGGTATCGTCCGAAGTCTCGCTCCCATTAACTACTACGAGTAGGAACACGAATAGGCATTAAAAATCCACCGCAGCGGACAATCCCCTACGAGGGCAGCCTGCTTCACCTGTAGCGGACAGATCCGTTGACGCTGATGACGTGTGTCTGAACGACAAACTTCAAAGATGCATCCATGTCGAACCGTTGAATTCAGATAAACTGCATGTCCCTATCATTCAATGCGGTTTTTAAGGCCGATGCTATTTCGGTTCCTGTTGGTGCTGTGATGTTGTTCATACATAGCTCCCACTAGTGGCAGTGGCATCTCTATAGCAGAGGCAATCATCACGTACGAATCAATAGTTCGTTTATCTTCATTTAGTATGCAATGCGATAGTTGAGCGGCGGCTTACTGGTGTGACGAAAACGCAAAATAGAGTTTGTAACGCCTATCGAAGGCCCCACTAGATAAGGAAATCGTCGGAAGGTCCTGAGTGAGTCACTAACAGAACTACAAAGGGAGAGCAGGAGGAAGAGAGATAGGGAAGGCTGCACTCACGTACGTATCGATTCACCGTATTCGAACGGGTATAATCTGTTCACGTTCATGCTAACGTTACTTAGAAGTACTCGAGATATGACTGTTATGATCGTTATCATGATGACATGTGGCCGCCACAAACCATGAATGTCGTATGATAATTCCACAGACCACTAAGCAATGGAATCTCCGTACGTTGGTCTTGTCGTCTCCTGTTGTCCTGAAGCAGCAGCCGGTCCTGCTGTACATATGCTGGTGTGCCATCTCCGCTAACGCATGTATTCATGCGGGCCTGCAATCTGCATGCGTTTGTACGGGGCTCTGAGCTGGCGGCGGCCGGCCGCTCGAGTGGTACGCTCAACACCTTCTAGACATGTACTACTGAGTCGTTTGACAAGATCGTTCTTCTTATCCGGGTGTACACAGGGGTCTTTTAGCTGTGGTAAGCACTCTGACCAGGTAGACCGGTCATACCACTTCGTGTGCGATGCAACCAACAACATAACAAACATGGAGACGATAAAGTGGCTGCGGTGACTGCGTTCATGGGTCCAAATTAAATTAGGAATATTGTCTGAACATGACTCCTGCCGTGTGTCTACCGCTATTCCCTTAAATTGGTCAGAATTTTGCTAATTGAAAGAGAGCGTCCCTAATGCAATGACGCTTCCGTTCCGAGTTTCTGTTTTCATTTGGTACAATAGCAAACATACATTCAACGTCAAGATTATGTGCGGACATTAATGCCAGCGCGTTCTCAACGCTGGAAAGACACACGTCGAGGATGACGTGTGAGATCCAGCGTGCGCATCTGATTTCTCGTGTTATGGCATCCAGGGAGATTCCAGAATATTAGAAGTAGAAGAATAGCATATTAGAAGTGGGGCAGGCCAAATATAAAAATATTTAGCTGCATATATTTCTGAAAATAAATTTCGAAATGTTTCGATTGTTTAGCCGAATCCTTGCCGTCAGCAACTACAGTATACACAGCAAGGTCTGCTAAGAACTTCCGTGACTGAAAGAAACCGTTTTATGCTTCTGCTTAAGTTAATTAATGTCCCACGTTTATATATAAGATATAATAACGTAGCTAGAATTCAAGTTGTAGAGAAGCAGGTATACTCGCAGCTCAAGCGTTCAATAACGGCTACTTAATCAAGCAGATGTTTCGGTTCTGAGAGACGCTGCACGTCGGAAAAATAGCATCTGATAAGTGGATAAATGTTATTTTTAGAAGTTATTAGTATGTAATAAGGCAAACATATGGCACACTCTTGATTTATTTTCAGTAAGTCCTTACGAAAATCATATAAAGTTGCACTATCCAACTCATAAACTTACGGAATGACGTACGCATGCAGACATAAGCTACAAACCATCAATTGATACATATATCGATTTATTATTTACGTATCTGTCGTTTAGATAATTATGTCATTCAATATGTTTCCGCTAAATCTATGCGCTGTTTAAGATACATGTGTCACTTTACCGGAGATTGTTCGAATACAGAACACCATTCAATTTTGAGTCCTACCACACCTTCCAGATTGATTTACTCCGCCCTGCCCGTAATGAACTGCCCTTAAAAACTACGTCTCACCCGATTGTGCCTGAAAAAACGACCTTCTTCTTAGGCGGTTCGATATCGTGAAGAAGGAATTGCTATCGTTTAAGCAACCGCGAACGAAGGTTACGAAGTTCGAAAGGACGCACAGATATTCGAGGATTGTTTAGCCTCGTTGTTATACTAATATGTTGAATGTTTTTTTTTTTAGTCTTTCCGAACAGTCCGTAATCTAGGCGAGATAAATCACAAGACGTTGCGAATTTTCTAGAAGTACAGAAGCGTTCAGAATTGAGGTAGCTCAGTAAAACCGCCGATACCGCAAATTCTTTTCGGCGGTTTCTGCGAGATAACCTTCGATATTCTTCGAGTCGAATTATGGGTACACATCAGTTCTGATATCTTCGCAACTTTATTTAGATGTCGAATGTAGATAACATCATTTTTTTAACTAAACTTTTAACTATTTTGCTGTAATTCGTGTCGCGTTCTTTTTTCCGATATTTCTCGTGATGTATAATTAACACTTATGTCCTAAAGCTAGCCAGTGCCTAAGTAAAATAAGACCGGTTGTTGTTACAACAACAATTGTCCTCTGTGCAAATAGCTATTCTACATATTTCCAATACATGCTAACCACGAGACACGAGAGTACATGTCACCTGCTCACAGACAGAAATACCCAGGACCTGTAATCTCTTTTTCTTTCTGTTCAACAAATACGCTTCGGTAAACAACTGCTAGTCAAAATATTATTAAACTGTACGAAGTCACGATACTACCGTTGGGCAAACAGCGTCGCTCGGTATGAAAACCCTGAGTATGAATTTGGCCTGAAGGCATTATTATTATCGCCCAGTTGAACGAGGTACAAGTTTAGTTTCTTCGCTACCAAACAGAACACGTTAGCGGGAGATCGTTGATCCAAACTGCCTAACCCGTTCCTATTGGATCAACATTGATCGTTCGAAATATTTCTTGAACAGTGGGTAAGATGTAATCGTTGAGGTTAGCTATCGAACTCATGTCTTACATCAATAGGGTCCTGTGAAGGACAGTGGTAGTTTGAATCGACAGGACCCCAGATGGCTATGGGAAAGCTAAATTACGTGACCGACCTCTTATATTCATCAAGTGCGGACAATGCTCCCGTAGACAAGCAGGCAAAAGGATTGTTCGGTGTCGTACTTTCGAATCGAATCTCAGTGTAGGGCCCTTTTGCCTATTGTTTTCTTTCGGATCTTTTTAGACTTAAATAGAGATATTACGCGGCGTTTTGTATTGAGTTCTGAAAGTGTTGTGAAATCTGTGAATTTCGGCAGCGGTTGAAAGCGCCGCTATAGTCTTCTGGCTCCCGGCCTTGTGCCGGTTGCTACGATAGCCATAGCGTGATATGCCGACGAGAGTAATTCATGCCTTATACTCCATGGCACTATCGAGCCACCAGGTTTCTTCAATTGACAAAATCTTTTCAATAAAAACTGAAAAAGAACGATTGAACTAGGACAACCACGGTTGTCCTCTGGAAAGTGTCAACCACAAGCGGAAATCGAACCGGCGTGGGGCTTCTCGTCGTCTAATTTTAGTGGCAGTGAAGGCATAAGTGTTTCTGGGGACAGAGCAGAGCAGGACTTTTTAGGTCACAGCCAAGGATAAGTTGGCAGAGCCAACCGTTAGCTGCCAGTAAGTAAAAAACCTATGGAGAAAAACGCGCTGGGGTGAAAAAAGAAGCTCGGGTGGATTTGCTCTGGCGCTCAGGCGCACAAGGGTTAAGCCGCACAATGGATTGCTGCTGCCACTGTGGAAGATATTGCATTTTAAAGAGGATTAGATCAACCCAATGGCGCTGGCGACAAGCGAATAGTGCCGTTCATGCCCTTCATTTACCACCACTTGTTCTGAGCGCGAGTGTATACTTGAGTTTTCAACTAACCTGTTCGCCTCTATAGAATAACTCTTGGTTGCTCCTTTGCCTTATGTTCAAAGAGCCGTCTTCGGTGGATTTCAAGCTTTTCCGCTAGCGCCCTAGTTCTCTCCGGCGTACCTCTTCAACTCCCAGTCTAAACGAAAATTCTGCCCACAATCGGCATCGAGAAGGCCGCAATAGCCGCTAGTGGCCACGCCACGAAGAGGTAGTTGTTGTTAGCCGGGTTCAGGGACAGACGAATCCTGCCCAACGAAGGAGTTAGTGCTGGTCATAGAGAGACTTTTTGGGGCTGGGACGAAGTACGAAGCGAGCGTAGGCGTTGCTGGTTTGTGGGCCTTTAAGTTGTAAGGGATCCAAGGGACGCCGAAGAACCAACTCTAATCGCAACATGTACGAGAAGAGCAGCAACGTTTCATAGTCGGCGAATGGCAGAATTAATTTGGCCTTACCCTTTTTACAGCTATGGCATTTTGAAGTATACTAAGAAAACAAAAAAAGGACGAGGTAAGAAGTCTGGCTCTTTACTTCGTTTTAAGTAAACTTATAATACTCAGCCTAATAGTAGGAATAAGAGAGCGAGTCGAAAGATTTTTAAAGTATACAGGAAGGATATAGAAAAACTAACTTTAGGGGTTCCGTTTGTACGTACTAAGTGTATTAATGCTGGATGGGCAGCTTCTTGGTTTATCGACGTAAAGAGATACGAAATGTGCGGCCAAGAATTACATTTAGTCTACAGGTTCAATTGTGCTCGCCTTTCGTATTTCTATTTTAAGTTGTACAAGAAAATTGCGCGTCAACGACCGAATAATGGTTGATAATGCCATTTGCCCTGCAGTGTTAGGCTCATTTATGACGCTGGAGAATTACTGCGTTATCGATAACAACTTATGGTGCTTTGGATATCTAGCTTTCTTCAGGTAGATATCTAGATCGTAATAGAAGTTACATACGTATAGTACACAGTTGCTTTTAAGGATTAAGTTTGTAAGGACCTATTATTGCACCTATTAAGATAAGCATTTATAACAAAGTGTGCTTACAGTACAAATCATGTCATCAATAAAAATCGTAGGAGTCTATTGTCTATGCAAAATTCACACTTTAGCGTTTAATGGGTTTTTCATTTCGACGACTTCGCACGATCGAACTGAAAATTCTTATGTGTTTGCAATTTAATGGTTGATTCATAACGACCTGCATGTGCTTTCAGCGGAGACTTCAGAAGTAACAGATAAAGTTCGAAGATTAGAACGATATTAGCCAACATTGTCCGCGCTGATAGTGCGTTAAGACCAGAGGAAGTCTGTACTCATTTATAATAACAAGGCGTGTGTATGGCGCCCGTATGTCGATAAACGTCTTACGATAAGATTACTAATCAATAAAAATCGACGGTCTAGTAGTTATATAGATCTGCCAGTACTTTTTAGGTATTTTATTTCTTAGTTGGTGTACTACTAGTGATCGTACGCTGTTTCGTAAGATCGTATAACGGAACGGGCTTAGAATGCGGGGAGTCGTGGGAAACCGTGACACAAGATTAATCCCAATCGAGGATTCTAGGCAGGATTGCAATGGTCACCTATTTTCGACAATGCTTCTCTCCATGGGTAAAAATGATACAAAGTTAAAAGGACGACGTTGGCAGGAGCAGCCTAACTGAGGCAATTAACGAACGAAGCCTTTGGAAGCTTCATGGCAGAGTTAAACGAGTAGCTTTTATTTTGCAATTAGTGATGTTTCAACTTTTCTTGCTTAGCTGCAGAAAGCTTCCTTCTTGTAAGCTTAACCGACGCCAATTATGTAGTAGTCAGTATGTTTTCACTGTCTCAATCGGATGAAATATATATGTGTGTGTGTATATATATAAATTTTTTTTTGATACTTATAAATCTGTCGCTATAGCTCACCTCTGTTCCCTGAACTTTAAGCTTCATGTGATCTTCTCGTGTCGTTTTCCCGTCTTTACGTTTTTTCCAGCAGTAACCGTCCCGTCGGTAACGAACCCGCTTCCTGCTGTAGAGGAGCATGGACCCACTTCGAGGCCGGATTCGTACCTCTTTACTAAGCCATTGCTCGTGCCGCTCGAAACTAATCAGAATAGCAGCAATTTCCTAGAAGTCAGAATAATAGAATGCACCAGTCTGAATCTGTATGATTTTTTAGCCCCGTCCAGCACAGCCGAGACTAAGCTGGACATCCGAACGGATGCTTGAACATTACTGAAATCATGGATACATCTCTTAGTTACTCAACACGGACTCCTTTATATTTGACAACAAAAAGGACTGGTGTTTTCAAATACCACCAACGAATTACATTATTATAAGAACTTCAATCTCGAGTCGGCTAAACGAGCACACAAATGCCATGTTAGACTCTTATAAGTATATGCGTTGACAAATGAATAGATACTAAAAATTCATAATAGCTGCTACTATCGGCACACTTACGAATAGATCCATCATGGACTTGAATATATAACACACAGATAGCAAAACACATCATTGTAAATATTAGATTTGGTTTCATACAATAGAGTTTGCCCGAACTTACATATGCGTGATAGATTGACGAGACCCAGATTTCTACGGGTCATCGTCATATCACACAGTTTACTTACACCGAGGAAATTATGGTCTTTGGTTAAGAAATAGTTATCTTTTTAGATTTTATTAATTTTATTTAATTAACAGTCACGTTAATCAGTGAATCTATATTAAACCGAATGCGTACTTACTAATTATTGTAGTCACTGCAGAACCAGTAATTATTTGCGGCCTTTTGGCCTCCTATATGTGGCCAACCCATATATCTGTACTCCGCAAATTACATCGTGCGGTCGTGCCTTGTGCTTCAGTGCACGTAGCCACTCGGAAATGGGATGTTACACTATCAACGTCATGTTATCTTCAGAAACGCGGCGGCGCGTCTCACAGGGTGATTGCAAATGGTACTTCGGCCATTTACCGCTGTACCAACATCGTGCCTACCCAAGTCTTCTCTTGCAGTCCCAATTGCAGTGGGGCGGATAGGCGGCCAGTTTGTTCCATGCGGCCTCATGAGTGGGTTCAGCCTTCGGACACGGCCCTTGCCGCTACGGATTCGATCAGGGCCTGAGCATTGTGTTTGGTATGTGTACGTATGTCTGTATCTGTGAATAGAAATAGGTGGCTGCAAGCCGAAATGTAGAGTGAGCGGGGTCAACTTTGTATCGGGCGCAAAGCAAAGGCCTGCTGAATATCACCAGTAAGAGATTCGACGAGAGAGGCTATCAGGACTTCCACTCAATTTGGACATTTTAGGCTGAAAGTGCACTGGTCCAAGTATCAAAAGACGTCTGGCTACAAACAAACGAAAAAGGAACATCTATCCAGTGATATCTCCTGCTGCTGCTGCTGCTGCTACTGCTGCTGCTGCTGTTTAGGCAGTAGCAGCAACAAATACTAGTGGCATTGATCTGCATTGACGATACAAGCTGCCATCGATGCTGCTTGCACTGCTCCCTATTGTCTGAAGCAAAAACCTCGCGACTTCAGGCGGTCGCGGCTCAACATCCATTTTTGTTTTTCGTCGCTTCCATTAGCAGTTGCTTTGTCGTCGCTATTAAACTTTAACAACGAACACCCGATAAGAGGGGCCGGCAACAGACGCATCAATAACAGACCTTACAGGGCCCGAAGCTCAGCGTACCCATTGCCACTACTAAGACTATGTCGCATTGAAGGTGCGCCTGCTACCGCTGTCATTTCCGTTACCGCCATCTTTTCTATAGCCTTTTGCTGTCTCGCTTGGACCGCGAACAAGCAAGGGGTAGCCACGCCCTGTACTCTATCCACGTCAAACTTTGGCTCATTGGGTCTTGTTTTGCTTGTGTCCTTCTCTCGGCCTGGGACGCTGTCGCATTTTCGAGCGAAGAAGTGCCGAGGACAGACAGCCCACCAGCAGCTCAGCATTCTACTGCATTATTAAGGGCCTGTTCGTTTCTGTCTGTAGGGGTTTGTACGCCTCAATCTAGACCCCTCTGACACCTAACTCAGGGGTCACTTTGCCTCGAACCAGCTTGGTCTTTCCTGAGCTATCTTGCATTAGTTGAGGTATCATCGTTTGCTGGCACTAACCCCCTATTAGCCTGCTGTGTAGCTGGTTGGCAGCGAACGACGAGATCGTCAGAGCCCAGAGAAGTTATTGTAATCCCAATGCAGGTGGCTCTGCGTAAAATTGCATGAATGCGTCTAGCACGAGGATGACAACAAAGAATGGAACGAACAAGGCCACATCGTAGTTGACCAGCAATCTTCTTTTCGTCATGTCATTGTTTATCATGTCCTGGTGCCATTACAGGCCGCTGCGCTGAGCTGCTGATACCGCAACTTCTGCGTCGCTCGTTGCTGCCGTGAGGCTAGTATGCCCAGAACACGACTCTGTGATACGTGAATGTGCAAACTTCGCGTCGACGAGAATTATAAACAAACGCTGAGTAGTCGGTGATTACGATAAGGACAACATCATTAATTGTTACGCCAACAGGAGATGGATGTAAAAGTAGATTATTCATAAAGACCCGAATAGATACACTTAGGGAATCGGATATTTTAATTAACAAGTTATCAGCCAGAGCTGGGCATTTTATTAGATCCTGTTTATGCATTTACGTACATTAGACGATTACTTTATTTATCCATTATATGCAAATGTAGCTGATCTATCTTCTTTGCTACTATTAATTCTAAATGGCTAAGGGCATGTTGATTCATATAGAATGGTACTAACTGACATGTCGAAAGTAGATGCAAGGGTTCGGTGTAACACTTTCCGGTTTGAGTACGTTTGCACAGAGTAGTCTGCTCTCTTCCGGAATATTTTTCGGAGCTAATTTGCATCGAACTGTCTCATAAGCAGAAGTACCAGACAGCTTTCCCGCACAAGGACAGGTTATTTAAAACGAATTTGTGCTTTCTGAGTAAAATTTACGAACTTTGTAATTTATTATCAGTTGACATTTATTTTATAACTAATAGTCGTTAAGCGCGCATTTCGTTTCTTGGCTACCCTTCTAGTAGAGGATAGCAAAAGGAAACGACTATTCTTTACTTATAAAGACCTGTAAATCCCTTTATAACTTTATCTGGCAATTTTAGATAGCCAAAGTTCGCAGTTGGCGTGTTTCTGAGTGTTTCCCTTTGATTTTCTACTTCCCAATATTTTTTCCCATTCTTCCCAGTGTCTCGCTTTAATTGAAAATGAAATCAAAAGCCCGTTTTCACGAGTTCTGCCGGCGTAGTTTGCTGTTGGCCTCCTCGCATTCCGCAAGGGGCGAACACGAAGAGGTTGCGGAATTGACGGTGGGATTTCATTATACCCGATGCAACTGTAAAGAGAGCGAACGGCAGGAAGTCTTTGATGGGGTAACGGATCAGGCAGACAATTTGATAATAGAGAGAGACTGAAAGCAGGGTCAGTGATAACTTATCATACATAACTGACGTACGCCTGCCCATAACGTTCGAACGCTTCATTTCCGCCGAGCTCTTCGGCTTACCTTTTTTATCCTCTCTTCATCCTCTGCTTTTCTCCTTTTTGTTCAATACGCTTCGGTCATCGCACTTATGTTCGACCCCACCGCTGTCCTGTAATTCCTGTTCGTTATGTCCTTCGGATTATGAATCGCCGTATTGCAATCTCAGATACTAAAACTGTAATAAATTGCTCACGCTCTTTCGAAATACCTCTCACGAGTGGAATTAGCTGGCAGCTTTTGAAAACGCAGCACCGCCAGAAAGTGCCCCTGCAGGTGGTAGCGTGGCAGCTTTGAGTTTCCTGAACTCCCCAGTTTGTCCAATTTGCTCCCCGGTTAATCCCACTTTCCGACGGAGTGATTTAGAAAATAAACGAAATGAAACGGACAGCAAAAATCATTTAAGGTGACAAGATAGGAGGGAGACGTAATGGAGATGAAGGCCTGGCGAGGAGGCGCAAAGCTAAAAGAAGCAAAAGACAAACCAGACTTTTCTCCAGTCTCAGAATCTCTGTGGAGGCCCCATAAATCTTGGCAGACAAATCTGCTTGGGAAGTAGTAGACGGCAAGAATGGAACGGGATGCCCCCTGGGGTGTGAAGCAGAAGCATCCAAATGCTGAATGCGCTTAACCACTAAACGGAAGTTATGTGAAGTGGATTGAATGAAGAGAATTAAAAGAGGGGTTAGTAACTGGCAGGGATAGGCTAGAATAGCGAAGCACGTAACCAGCTAGCACCACGCCACAAGAAAGCGAGCGCTGGAAAAGCTTGTTGTTCAGGCTGTTTCAGCGGCACTGAAGCTCGATGTTCGACGGCTTACTCGCGCGCTTCCTTCAGTGTCTCAAACTCCACGTGTTGTGAAGCTAGCAGAAGGGTGTTACGATGCGTTCGTTGCTTCTAGAGCCGGCTTGTCCTTGAAGTTCTGCTTGGTCAAGGCATCGTAGACGGTGGGACCCGAGAATAACAGTGGGAGAATAGCGGCTGTGGTAGCCCGGCATAGTAAAACAGAATGTTGTTGCGGATCTTGGCTGCTTTTTTCGCCTTCACCCATCGTCTACCACATTGCCACTCAAACCCCCTACTCAGGCCCTGTCGTTCCTTTTATCAGTTGGTGCCACAGAGCGCAAAAAGCGTTCGTCGAAGAAAGGGCTGCTGGAGAATATAAAGGCCAGCGACCGCCAGAGGTAGCCGCTGCCTCAGTTTCGGGAAAAAAAAACTGCGCTCTGGGAACTAGAGAAAACGTTGGCAAGGCGAAGCGAAAAGGAAACGCACAAACCGCCGAATAAAATGCGGGAATAGGAGACAGGACTAATGCAGGGACGGCGTGGCGTCCGGTAGTAATAGAGGAGCATCCAGTGGCCACGGCCGAGGCATAGGCTCGAGCAAGAGAGGAAGGTTCTACGGGGACCTTGACGGAGTTGTGAACGCGAAAGCCTTACTCTATTTGACTCTGCACCGGCTAACTGCCTGCTTGCTCTCCTTACTACCGATCGACTTTATTACGCCATTATGTGAAGAGCTGACAGGTAAAGATTTGGAACTTGCACCCCCGCCGTAACCATGGGAGCGACGACTATGCTAGCTTACGGAGAGCG